TTTCTCTAGTTTCAGATCTGTGATTAAGCCTTAAGGAAGGGATACAGAGTGATGAGAAATGCAGTTGGTGCCTTTGAAAGATCTAACAGGCATGCTGGGGATTTTTATGTTCTCTGTGTTTCTTTTCTTTATAGGTACAGTAATAAGAAAAACTTTACCAAAAAAGTGACACAATGGAGTGTAATACAACATATGTCAAAGGCAAGTTTTATTTGAATACATTTCAAGAAAATATTCTAGTATTCACATTCTCACATATGAAGCTTCATTATAAAACTTGTGGAGAAAAGCAGTACATATCTCTGTGAATCTAAATATTTGACTCCATGTAAACATATTTAAGAATACTTGTGCTTTGATATTGTTTCTGCTGTCCTTTTTTAAGGGATTTTGGACAGCCAGATGCATCATTTACCTAGGATTCATTGATTCAATATTTATTTATAACTGGTATGTAAATAAAAGACAAAATATTGCTTTCTATGACAATTTTTTTAAACTTTGGTTTATTTGGAGAACTTCCTTCCTTTTACGCCAAGAATAGCTAAAGTTCAGGAATGTTATGAACCCCATTACATGACTTTCCCAAAGTCAAAGATCTGTCTAGAGTTATAACCGTGTCATATCACAGTATGAAATTTTAAATCCTAGTTCAGTGTTTCCCTATAGATCAGACTGAGTTGTTTTAAAGTAAATGCAGTTTACAGGAGTAATTTTTTCTTTAATTACTTAAAAATTCACATAACGTATAGTTGAGAGATTTTCAAAATCAAGTGATTCTAAGAAAGTGATATATGTTTTTCTAATAGCCATGGATAGCAGGAAGTCATGAAAGAAGTGTCCAGCTTATCTTCAGGCATTTTCCTTTTTATTTATTTATTTTTTTTGTGGTACGCGGGCCTCTCAGTGTTGTGGCCTCTCCCGTTGCGGAGCACAGGCTCCGGACGCGCAGGCTCAGCGGCCATGGCTCACGGACCTAGCCGCTCCGCGGCAGGTGGAATCTTCCCGGACCAGGACACGAACCCGTGTCCCCTGCATCGGCAGGCAGACTCTCAACCACTGTGCCACCAGGGAAGCCTGGCATTTTCCTTTTTAAATCCTTTTATGTAGAAAAGATGAAAAATGGAGGCATTACCAGAGAACCAAGGGGAATTAAAGAGGAATTACTGTAGAAACAGCTTTTTACATAATTGCATCATACTTATTACTCCCTAGCCTGCAAATGGTCTAAGTTTTCTGAAAAATGAACAGGTCAGGTATCTGTGCATAGTCACTTTGTCACATGTGGTTAGTTGGCATGTCTGAACATTTATGACTATCTCCCCACTATCTGTCTCCCACCATCTGTCTCCTCCTATTCCTTGTACCGTCGAGTACAAGTTTGGGTTTTTTTTTTTTTTTTAATGAATGCAGATACCAAGAATAAAATAAATGGAAAACTAAATAGCTAAATGAAGTGCATACGCTTGTGTATGTGTGTGACAGAAGTTAGTTTAAGCTGAATCTTTGCCAAAATCTCTCTGCGTTCATACACTTCCTACATGTATGATAGGAAGTGTTAATATATTTTGCAAAAATCAATAAAATACTGTCTTGGAAACATCATTTAAATATATTTTTAGTAAAGTATTTTTTTAACTTTTCTAAGTTTTTTAAAAAAACTTTTCTGTTTTCTTTTCTGTTAAAAAGACACTTCCTATTTAATACCAATTATTAAATGATATTCATATTAAATTTTAAAAGTATATAAAAAAACAAAATGACACAAAGCAATGGAAAATAGTAACACTTTTAAATTAGTCCCAGAGCTACATTAATTTTTTCAACTATTAATAGACTTAGCCATAAAATTCTTTTATTTTTTTCTATCAAAATGTAGCCAAGAAACAAACATCTTTCTTTGCTTTCTTTGCAGGAAAGAACCAGTATCTGGATTATTTCCAGTCCATCCAGACAGCTATTTCAACTGGAACAAGTGACCTTCAGAACAGAATAGAACATAGCAGCCTAGCCAGACAGAGGGGAGGGAGTAGGCAACTGGGAAGGGCCCCAAAATGTTCCTATGAAATGTCATTTGAAGTAAGAGGACAATAAAAAACTAAGGACAAATAAATGAACTTAAAAATATTTAAGGCCAATGAAAACTGTGTGACCACAACATGGGATTCAAGGAAAGATGCAGTTTGAATCTTTACCTATCATTCTTTAACTCACATGCTCAACAAATATAGTTCTTCACTCTCTGAGTCCAGGCAATGTCCCTTAATTATAAAACATTCATCTTTGAGTCCTCACAGTCTCATTGAAGCTATAATAATCAATTAATAAAAATCAATATTAACATAATTAATATAAACAACAGTCAATTGTTTTTCCTCCCTTGAGTGAGCCAGATTTCCTTAGTCTATGAATCTATGGTGATTAATAGATGCTCATAGCGAATGTCAAGGTCTTTATTTAGCAGGTCATTGCTACATAAGATAAAAGTTAAAATACTGGTAAAGATTTTATCAGAAAGGACAAAGTGGTTATCTTCTCTTAAGATTTACTTGGAAGGCATGTTGTTCTTTTCTTTAACAGGGAGCATAAGAAGTTTTAGTTCACATCATTAGCAAGAAACATGCTAAAGAATCATTTAACCTTTTACTGAACGCTTTATGGGTAAAGTGTTGTGCGTGGCACCAAAGAAGATACAAAACTGTCAAAGCAATACTTCATTAAGATTTCTGGAGGATAAACAGAAAAGTTTTTTTAAAAAAACTTTATTAAACAAATAGAAAAGTTAAAAAAATACTTTATTAAAAATATATTTATATGATGTTTCCAAGACAGTATTTTATTGATTTTTGCAAAATATATTAATAATGACAAGTTGATAAACTAAAAGTTACAGAGAAAATGCTATGAGATTTCAGAATATCCTTTAACAAAGAACTTAATTAGGTCCTGCGCGTACTGGGGAATTCTTTTAAGAAGGTATCTCCTACAACTTCTAGCCAGACTCCCTTTAATGAAAACAGCAACATTTAAAAGTCTGATGCAAGTTCCAAAGTGCCTATAGAGCTGCTTGCAAACTGGAAATGTTTGGCTCAATGAATTTTGAGTGTGCATCTGAATAAACACCAAAAATGTGGCTAAAGGTAAATATAAGGTAATTATATAAGCAAAGTTTTAGTTACACAGTTGTAGTGGTACTATTAGCTCACACAAAACCCAATGTTAGTGATACAGAAATAAGAAATTCAGCTATTTCAATTTATCATGTAGTGATAAATTTTTATCAGAAAAAATCAAAGTGAGCTTTCAAACTCAACTTCTTAAGTATGCCATCGTTTGTATATTATTAACTATGATTTTGGAATTAGTGTGTCTTAAGATCAATGAACTAGAGTGGAAATCAATGAATTCAGAGAAAGGCAATGTCTTCTGCTATTTAAATAATACCCAATTTCATAAAAATGCACTTGAAAGTAAAGAAATAGAAGACCATACATTATTTTAAGAGGTGGTCTCCTCACTAGAGTAAGGGAATCCCACTTCAGATGAATTCCAGAGAAATACGTTTTGAGGGAGAGAATTCTATAAGTGGGTTACATTTGGATCTTAATAACACAAGGTCAAGACATGGAATGAGTGTATAAGAATTAAGGTTTGGGTCGAATTTATGAAATGGGTGTTGGAAGGGGAAGTTCTTGAGACAGTCGTCTGAGGTTATCTAGGAAGGTGAGGACACTTAAATTAGGCACTTTCTGCATGAGACACAGGGGTCTGAGGGTAATACTAGCCATGCCCGTATCAACAGTGTGTTAACAGCTCTTAAAGAGTGTAGTTTGGGTGGAGTCTGGGTTTTAGTTGTCAAAATTGAGTCCAAGATTCTTCAAAAAATTTAACAGAGGCTGAAACCCCAAATCATGAATAAATATTGAATTTGGAACTATAGATGGAAACACTGGAACAGAAAAATATTAACAGCCAGGTTTTTTTCATGGTTATGTTAAGTAACATCAAAAGGAGTAAAAACAAAAGTCAGTATTTAGAAATGCATCAACACAAAAATCTATCAGAAGTTCTATCTGAGAATGAATTCCCATAATGTGACTAAAATTTTTAAAAAAATCAAATCCAAAATACAAGAAACAGGAAGAGGTGAAGAAAATTATTGTCATTGGCCTGTCTTCATAAGCTTCACACTGGATATCTAACATTATAGACACTAGCCAGTGCTAGGTACCCAAATTTAAACATAGTTAAATATTAATATTCTAAAGGAAATTTTTGGTTCACACAGTACTTTAATACATATAGGTTTTCATTTATTAATTCAAATATTTGCCTTACTTTTCCTTTACGACAATGAACTAACTGAAGACAGGGATCTTGTCACCTTCAATTTAACAATGTCTGTTAGCAAACTTACGAGATGTTTTCCTACCCACCTAATACATGATATTCACATAGAGTTATAAATGAATTTTAGTGAACAGATGGATGAATTGTTCATTGGTGTGCAAAACTGCATGTGAGTCCTGTGTACCATTAAAATACTTAACATTGTGTTTTGAATAGACTCAAAACTTCATGATATTCTAATTAGCCACCACTCAAATTCTATTATCAAGTCCACCTTTTTAGGACTACCAGCCAAGATACCCTTTGTATTACTAGCTTAAAAAGGCTCTCCATTCTGAAAAGAAATATTTACGTAATACAGTTATTACACCAGATGCTTCTGGTGAAAGGAACCAAACTATGACCTCTCTCACCAGCAGGATGAAATCCATTGTTTTCACAACTGAATTATGTTTGATCATAAAGCTAAAAAGTGTGTGGGCTGTAAGAAATGAAGTTAAAGTCTTTTTCTGCTTTCTTCTTTCTCTTTCTGTCTTTCTTTTGGCACCAATCTATGACCAGGAAAATCTGGCATGAAATTAGCTTCAGAATGTGTCTAAATTAATTAGAGGTTATTTAATGAGTTATATATACAAATATAAATTATACAATTTAATTTATTTAAAATCATTTATTCTCAGCAAAATCAAACATATCATTGAGTTTACATAGAAATACAATTTGCAACTGTATCTTCATAAAAATGCACTGGTGAAATAAATGTTCATAATTAATGACCAATTATATAGTATTTAATCATGCCAGTAGCAGAACTGATTACCATTGAAAATTGGTACAATAACGTATTTTAAATGTGCAAAGTACTCTATTGTGTTACCATTGATAATAAATTGCCACTAAATATATACCTATTACACAAAGCTTTATAAAGTACAATAAAAATACAAATTCTATCTGTTAAAAAAAGCCATTGATATGGCTTCTAAACATCCTCATTATACAAATTCCGAAATACTATATGACAAACAAAATTATAAAGACTCTTCTTTATGAAACATATACTACCCTCTAATTAAGGTACAACTTAGCAGATAACAGAAAGCAAACAAGAAGGCTTATATACACCACAGAACATTATGGGGATACATACAAATATAATATTGCATAAGCCTATTTGATTTCTGTTCCTAGTGAAAATGTACCTTTAGCACGTGAAGAAAATTCCCATGACTAAAGGAAAAGAAACATTTTTGAGATCTACCCTCAATCTAAGCTCATATTTTCATTAATTTAATTTTTTTTCTTATAATGTGATGAACCAAATTATAAATTTGACCATAAATTTTGCTGCACCCAGTACAAATTACAGTCTGTTACATAATGGGCAAAGGTGTAAGAAACAAACATTTTTAAAAGTCAGAGTTCATCAGCACATCAAGAATCAGCTGCAAGAAAATGTTATTGTTCATGTTAAAGACTAAACTGAGCAGCAATTTCATTTTTGTGAAAAATGAGATTCTGAGTTTAACAAAACAGATACAAATTAAATTTGCTAAATAATGTTGATAATTCATAAAGGACAGGTACCATAGATTTTTAACAGTATCAAAACTAATGGGTCATCACAAAATAAACTTTGGTGAGAAAATATCTTTATCAAAGGAGAAAATATAGGAAAGATAGTCTTATTCAGTTCAGAAAAAATATATTTGGTAAAGTATATATGGGTAATAGATACTGCAACTATAGACAGAATATATTCCAAATGTTTTTTTCAGAAACTTCAGATCAGATGATGTTTAGTAATGTAACTTATCTCATTAGAAATTAAATTTTATTTTAAGTGTTTTGTAAATAGCAAATTTTCATTTGTTCCACAATCTTTATTTATGAAATAAATATTTAGAGTGTAGCTGATAACAATAACTAACATTATTACCTTGCTTATACTAATAAGTACTCTAAATACATTTAGTTTAATTATTATTGGAATTTATATTTTTGTTATTTTACCTGCTAAAATGATCTGGTGGTATTATATTCAAAGTTTACATTTTCCGAATAATATGAACAACATTTCATACATAAAATGACATCTGTCTAATGAATGGTAACATGTCTATTGGTTTGAATATAGAACATATTTAGTTTGGCATTGGTGTATCTCTTCAGGACTCTGAAAGGTATCTTTAAGGTATGGCTTTTGGGAAATCAGTAATAAACTAGCAACCTAGAGAATGAACTTAAATTTGAAGAAGCTAATTGTTTAGAGCTCAGACACAGGCAGATATTTGGATAATTTGTCTTTCAATTATAAATTCTTCTACAAACAGAAAGGAACATAAAAGTATGATTTACTTTACAGTGAGTTGTTTTTAAAACAAAATGCTACAGTTCAACAGTGAAAGTATGAGGAAATTTTACTGAAATAATTTTCAGAAAGTTATGAGATTCAAAAATATATTGGTACATGTATAATACCTGTCATAAGTAATAATGAATAATAGATATGTATACAAAACAAATTTAACAGATTCAAGACCTCTTGCTCTTGACATCAGCACCTGCTGTCTAACGGGTCGAGACAAAATACTGTGCCTTCAAGAGTTAGTCCCATTTTGAACCCCTCCTGCAAAATAAAGTAAAATCATTAAAATAGGAAATGCTCATAGCAAAAAAAAAAAAAAAAAAAAAAACAACAACCCGTAAATGAAAGAGAGTATGAGCAGAAGTTGAAATCTTCATGTTTTGATCAACTAAGAAATAATTATATGTCAAATGATGTTGGCTTGTCAAATTTTTATCAAATGCTTTTATACCCGTTAGCATTTTAAATGCTTTAAATATACATGAGGTTAGCACGCATAAGAGATAGAAGAAAACAGAAATATGTGGAATTAAGTAATTTTAAGACTTAAATGTTTCTTTTCAGTGAAGTCTACTTTATGTCATTCTACTGTAGCTTAAATCCCTTGGCTTTAAAGGTCAATATTCATATAAGTAAGATAGCTAGACCTCAAGGTGATGACAGCCTGATAGTTTTCACCTTTTCTTCTTGGTTACCACTATCCAGAGCCTGGTAAAATAAATTGCATTGTATTCCCTAAATGCAATGCTGTATCCTATGTGTAACACAGGACTGCAGACCACTTCGCCATGGAGAAAGCTTCCTCTACTAGCCTTGTAGCTGCAAATTATTGCTTTGAATTCCACTCACCTCTAGCATGTTTTAGATGCTTCTAGAAGTTAAATTTCTTTTGATTTATTGAGACCAAGTACCCAATTGCCATGAAAAAAATTTTTTTGAAGATTTTTGAGTTAAAAGTTAGTGGTAAAGATGTTTGTCCTTTTCTACTCTCCAGCTCTCTTCTGTACAAGGTAGTTGAACTATGGGCCATCTCTGGTCTTACCACCTTCCCCATCCCCATCCTTGCTCATAAAATGAAATGTAGACAAAAGTCTATTCCTGAGGAAAAGAAAATCTCTCTCTAAGAGAAGGCTTTTGTCCTCTGTTCTGCTTTGTGTTTTGTTTGATTAGATGGTATCTACTCGTGTGTTAGCCAATTGCATATCTATTTGCATTTCCTCAAGTTACTTTCATTTAGAACCAGTATTTAATGTACTTACTATAAATCCAATGTAAACATTATGATATAGAGGAAGAAAATCATTACAAAATACAAGCCACACCTTTTTCGCTGTTAATGTTTAAAGAACACTCTTCATTATGCCTAAGCACAAAGACCACAAAGCAATGCCATCACTTTAAGGATTTTTCAAAAGTACTTCTCGGTACTTGGAATACAAATTATATTTAGTTAAGTAAAATCAGAGTACTTACCATTGTTTTAAAAGCCTATTCTGGTCACAAGAGAAATATTTTGCCACATGTATGCATATTTTTTTAAACAGCCGCCAAATACTCAGAAAAGTCAATACTTTAAACTGAAAATATTGTAAATAAACTGCTTTTTAAAATATTTTATTTGGATATCTGAGGATCTATGTACTATGTCATCTTCTGGAATATCAGATAGATAGATAGATAGATAGACAGATAGATAGGTAAGTAATGTGGATATATATTACCTTTGGAAAGATTTACCATTGTTTTTTAATCAGTTCATTCTGAAATTAAACCACTATCACTTCAGTTACCCTGAAAATACTATTTATCAATGTGTTATCAGTATATGAAAGGCAGAATAGTAATTAAAGTAAAATAGGGGTCATTGTTTCAACAAAAAATGTTTGTATATCACTTACAAGAATATCTCCATGTTTTTATAAGGATTTTTTAGGAGTCGTCTTAGATTAACTTAATTATCCCTTTTGACAGACACATTGTTATATGGCTCCTTGGTTTTCTTTCCCCTTAAAATTTCCCACACATTTTCTGACCCTTCCTTCTAGGCCTCATTTAGTAAGTCATGACTTAATGCATTCTAAATCCTTCTAAGGTTTCCATATCCTCTTGAATTTTAAACATCTGAATGAAAATAAGGCTTATTCAGCTTACGTAGTGATGGAAACTATCATAAACTCATATCACACAAAATAATGATCTTATTATTGATATATTATTAAAAATATATTTTGATATAAAATACTTTCCCCAATTGCATTTTCTTACTTTGCAACATGGAGAAAAGCATATCAAGGAAGAAAAAAACTCATATGCAACAATTAACATGTTGAAGTATGTCCTTTGAGTCTCCCTCTTTTCTACCTATAAATTAAAAAAAATTAATACTAATATAAATAACTATATATTATATATAACTTATTTAATGTATTAGATATATTATATATAAATTTCTATACTCTTTTTTAATCTTAGCAGAACAAACTTGATTATTTTGAGTCCCTGTAAAACTAATTTGATGATTTTATAATGTTCTATTAATTTTAATATAATTTATTTCCTGTATTTTATAGTTATAAATAAGGTTGACTGTATGTTTTTATGTATAGAGATTTTCCACATTCATAGTTATTTTCTCCTCAGAATAGATTATATTAAAGTTTTTGACATCAAACAGAAATACAAGTATTAGTAACAAATTACTCCCCAAAGGGATGCTGTGAACTGACACTGGCCCAGCAATGATTTAGAGTGCTTGTTTCATCACAATTTCATTTGCACTCTATATTAGTAAAAAAATATAATGTTTAATTTGCTGGATTAAAATAGCTTTTATAGTTCTTAATTTGTATGTTTTCTTTGATTAGACTTAACATGTCTATAAGTATATAGCCATCTGTGGTCTTATTTTGTGAGCTACACTTTTTTATTTATCTGTTGATTATTTAGTTTCCTAATCATTTGTCTACTTACTTTAATCGTGTGTACATGATATAGTTATATTTTTTAAAGAGAAAATTTAAAAGAACTATAGAAGACCTTCTATAGGTGACTATATGTACATATTTTCCTTTTCCTTATAAAAATTTCTTTCCAATTCAAAAGTCTGATATATATATATAATTGTATTTCAAAAATTTTAAACTGCTCAAGGCTTCTAAAATTTATCTAAGTATTTGTTGTAGGTTTCAGCTATACATTGATCTTCTCCTAAATTATTAACCAGTTGACTTAATATCACTTAATGCAAAATTCTTTCATTGACTTGTCACTCTCCTTTTTAATGTATTAAATTATTATAACATACAAGGTACACTTCTGGGCTATCAATACTATTAAACTGAGTTGCCTGTCAGTGACATGTACTAAGAAGTTTAAATTATGTCAGATCATATAAGGATATAATTGATTTCAAATAAATATCTAATTTTCTAACAATTTATAAAAACCGTGGCTTAACATTTCTGTTTAAATTCTTACATTCATGAAATATTTCTATGATTTCCTCCGAAATAAAAGAGGAAAATCCAAAATCTCACTAGGCTTATTAACTCAATATAGTTTATACAACCCATTATACTGTATTAAGTTTTTACATTATATGCAAAGATAAAAATAGTAGCTAAATGTGTGCATTCAATTAATTAGGCTAACAAGATTAATAACAAAAGTCGTTATAAATTTTAGTTAAAATATTACTTTACTTTAATTAAAGTGACCTTGCAAACACATCGTGTACTAAAAGAAACAGACAAGCAATGAGGTGGACAATGCAATAGTGATTGAGTCATTGAAAAAATAACTTCAAGTATGGGTTATAAAACCTCTTTAAACAAAACTAATAATCAGACATATACATGTGAAACTGCTTTTTGAATATTTATTAAATAAAGCATGCAAATATTAAGGTTTAGCTTTAAGAAGTTATAAGTTGTTTAAAATTATTATGAAAATAGTATACCAACCATCTCTGGCGCTACCCACCATGAAAGCAGAAAAGAATAAAAAAGACATTAAGAGTATATTAGAAATGACAAAAAGAAAACAAAAGCAAAAATACCACAGTGTAACATTATTTGACTACCATACCATTAAATCATTTCAATATAGTGTTTCTCAAACTGGGTTTCTACAAAAATCTGGAGATACAGGCTTATCTTCAAACATCTATAGAAAACATTTGTTGTGTGAAAATCTAAAAAATATTAATAGAAACTCTTTGTGTTTTGTATAACCTTTGAGAACAAATACTACCACATCAGTGCCCATGTTTGTTTTTGTTCTTACAAAAGCATTAGTCCCAAGGTAGTACAACCATAATTGGTAAAACTAATGAAAAGGAAAATAAATTTATTTCATATGAAATAAATAAAGCATTCTCACTAAATAATCATGCACTATTTGAATGAAAGTCTCGTAGTATTTTAACTATCAAAAAGATGTGGGGAAATTGTGTCATCAAACAAGATACATGCTGATATCAACAGAAGTATGATGTTGGTGGTTTTAGTTTCAGCCAAATAAAATAATCCATGCTGTTATATTAAAGTTCTTAATCTGAATTTTATTAGGTGTTGTAATTTCGCTTTTATTTAATTTATAAGTTTTGAATTAATAGTTGTATAAGAACTATAAGGATAAAATGTATATAACTTTTTTTGTAAATATTTAAGAAATGTTATAGAAATAGTTTATAGTTTAAGTCAATATTAAGGATTTAAAATAATTTTTCATGCAAAAGGGAATTATAAATCACCCAACTTGAGAAATTTTTGTTTTGACATATTCTTTAAAAACCTCAAGGTATGTTAAACAATCCAACTTTTAAAATGCAGAGGCATTATTATATCTATAATAATAAGGATATTCACATAATACCTAGAAAAGAAGACTGCTTCACACCTTCAGTCCAAAATCAGTGAAAGGATATTTATTATCTTTCTAGGAAGCAGTGTTTTATCAGTGTTAAAAGATCATAATCCACCCCTCAACTTTTTTTTTCCCAGGAAATGAAGCATAGAGAGTGAATGTATTAACCCAGGCCTAATAAATAAAAACCACTCCATCTCTTCACCACATCTTCTCAATCAGTTTCATATAATTGGTCTCTGCCTGAATTCTTCTGTGTATATATTGTCTTTTTGATGAAAAATAGGATATAATAACTTCATCAAAATGTAAAGGGAAATATAAAGAGAAAACTTTATTATAGTGCTTATAAGACTAATTACTAATCATCGCCCACTGTACAAAGCTTCTAAACCAATATCTTCAAACTTCCAGCACAATTCAGAATTGAAAAATAAAAGGGAGAGAAAGAAATGAAAACCCAATTGGACTACATTCCTAAGGAAGCTGTCATTTGGTGTCTGCTGTTTCAGTAAGAGCCCAGAAGTTATGAACTATAGTTACAATGCTTCCTATTATTTTATACCCCTCTTCCTTTGGAATTCTTCGTTTTAGCTCTCAGCTTTATTTATTAATTGAGGTAACATTGGTTTATAACATTATATAAGTTTCATGTGTGCAACATCATATTTCGACTTCTGTACACAGGACAGTGTGTTCACCATCAAAAGTTTAGTTTCTTTTTTTTTTTGGCCTCTCCCGTTGTGGAGCACAGGCTCCGGATGCGCAGGCTCAGCGGCCATGGATCACGGGTCCAGCCACTCTGCGGCATGTGGGATCTTCCCGGACCAGGGCACGAACCTGTGTCCCCTGCATCAGCAGGCGGACTCTCAACCACTGTGCCACCAGGGAAGGGAAGCCCCCAAAAGTTTATTTTCTGACCATCACCATACAGTTGACCCCCTTTACAATGTTTCTTTTTAAGAAACTGATTTCATTCTTACAATGATTTTCCTTCACCCGTTCACAATTCTGAAATTCATAATTGTTAATTGTTAAGACTGAGATCAAATCTTATAAGTCTAGTGCAATGACCTTTCAATTTTTGGATTTTGAATAATTAACTCATGAAGAATTTATGTTATTTTGTATAAAAAAAAACCATGTTTTTGCCACTGTAAATCGCACCATTAAGAACAAAACACAATGAAACCTTATCCTTAGCATCTGTCTGAGTATTTTTAGGACTAAATGTATGTTATTGTTATTTTAAAGTAATTATTTTAAGTAAGTTGATAACAGTTCAAGGAAAGGATAGTTTTAGTAATAACATTCTCTTAGTCCCATAGAAAAAAGAAAACAAAAACATTTATGGGCCAATCTGTTAAAATAGTCACCTGCATCTCATCTAATTTTGATTGAATATCTGGAGGGAAATCCCCTGCTCCACAGTTAAATGGGTCAAAAGGTTCTGCTCCAAATAGGTCCCGTTCTAAAAGGAAGAAAATAATTTAGTATATGAAATGACAAGGAGTGAGTTGGGGTGAGTTAGGTTTCAAAGGCAGGATTATATAAAGAAGCACCTGCATGACCAAATGAGCCCCTATCCACACATACTTTATGCTGGGCTTTCCTGAGCTTAGACTAGTTAAACACCAACAAGCAAGCAAAGATCCGCTTTTATGACGATTTAAAAACTATTTGGTTACAAAGAATTATTATTCAGAGAGGTTTCTGTGTCTTTAAGTAAGACTTAATATCAAATTCACCAAATATTTGATAATTAATATATTACAATACCTACACTTTACTAAAACAATTTAAATGTACTAAAATTAACGTATTACTCACTGAAACTTCTCTATTCCATTTATTGATGACTCTGCAACACAATAGCGAAGCAATAGGTAGGACCTAGTAGATTAGGAAGTAGTTTAACTCACAGTTCATGTACTTTAATCTCACCTTTTAGCCAGAAAAAATTTAAGGCACATCATCTCATGTAGTATAAAATCATATCACCTTCCTAGATAACCACAATGAGACAGGTTCTTTAAAAATGCCTCTTTTCCCCCAAACAAATTTCTTTTAAAAAAAATAGCAGTAATTGAGTATCAAAAAGCTCTCTGTGCATATATTTTAAAGTCTGCATTGTTTTTTTAATCATTAAAGAAGTATCAAAGTTAAAATTGATGTTTGTAATTGATAGGACTATGACTTAATTTATGATTTAAAATTCCTTTTTAATTTAAGAAATTTCTTTCCTCTGAATCAATTTAAATGCAGCCTTAACTGACAAAAAATTAAATTATATATGGGCAAGGGAATTTATAATGTATCAAGACTTTCATTTTTCAGGAAACTATATTCTCTAAATTAAATGCTTTGTAAGAAATAATATTTATGCTACTTGAGTTCTATTATATCTTCTAAATCATTGTGACTCCCGTTATGAAAGATTCTTGCTTCTCTAGTTACAATTTTTTTTTCAGATTCATGTATTAAGTTAATAAATGTAAAATGTTTAGAAGCTCCTGGTTCTGGTAAGTATTGTATAAATAAGAAGGACATATAATTTATCTTCCAAATAAAGACACTTTTAAGAGTGAAAGGAGTGCTACCAAGTTTCACCAGGATGAAGGGTATAAGACAGGGTACCCCTAAATAAATGGGAATTTACTGTCACCATACATATAACTGATGGGTATTATTATTGTTGTTACTATATATTTTCCTCAGTCCGATGTTTATTGTAGGCAATAAACCAGAACTTAGAGAAAAGAGGAACTGTTCTTTGGAGGTGTATCCTGGTTACCACCGTACCACGAACACATCAAGCAATGCTTTACATGTGGTACATGCTTGTCAAAAGAAATGAATTAATAAAGAGGAAATAGAGTTGTCAGGAGGAACAGAGATTCTCATTACACAGGTTTTCTAAAGTTGCGACTCAAAATCACCAGAGATTTCAGATGGGCTTAAAGGATCCTTAACATTCCTGAAATGCAATGCAAAATTTTGTATGAGTGGGCATGTTGTGTTTTTCTGTGAAGAGGTTTAACTTTTATCATATTCTCAAGGGTCCACAACTCCCCCACAAGTCAAAAAGTACTACTTTACATATTAAGTAGACATATCAATACCAGGCAAATTAATAAATATAATAGACCTCTTTGGCATATTTTGGTCAGCTCAGATGGATCTAAAATTCATAACAAAAAGTCATATAAGTCCAATTTTCAATTTAAAAAGATTTGCTATGTAATTAATGACATGAAAATTATTTAATCTAATACAAGAGCAAAATAATAAAAAAATAGGGGATACTTCACTCATTCTTTTGTTTATCCACTAAATATTTATTGACCACATATTATGTGCCATACATTTTGCTAGGCAGTGGATTAAAACAGTTGAGGAAAGGACTTTAGAGTCAAGTGCCTTCCCTCATGTAATTTATAATCAATTAGGAAACATGATATTAAACAAATTAATTAAAGTCTGATACATATTCAAAGATCAAAAATATGCTCTGGAAAACTACTAGGGTTCTCAGGCAGTAAGGAGAGAAACTAAGGAACAATCTTGTAGGTTTCTGCTTTTATGTATTTAAAATATAAAGAAAATAAATGAATGAATACATTTAAGATTTCATTAAAAGAAAAAGTCCTATTACTAAAAGCCCGCTGGATTACAGTTTTAGACAATCTTACAATTAAATCTGAGTTGAACAATCTGTCCTTAAATTGTTAGTATAGATAGACAAGAAGATGATTGATAGATAAATGATAGATAGATATAATACAGTGGTAATCAGAACTCCATTTCTTTCTATCTATCTATGTATCTATCTAATCTTTCTAATGATATACTGCTGTATTTACTAAACTCTGGCATTTGGGATAGATAGACATTAAAAAATATAGCAAGATGTTACTTCAGTTTCTCATTAATAAATCCCTAAAAACCATTTGACCATCTCTACCTAGATTTTCCAAAGGCATTTCAAACTCACTAACATTTAAAAGAGACTCATCAGTTTCCCCCTCTCTACCTCTAGTTTTCCCATTAACAACATTTGGTCCAAAATCCTGAATCATAATGGAGTTTGAACTTTCAGTTACCATCCTGATGGATTATTCCTTCTAAGTATCTTAAAATCTATTCACTCTTCTCAATTTATATTCTACTTGGATTAAAACCTGACATTGTGGATACACTTCTAATTTATATTTCAAATTCTAGCATGTAACCCAAGTCTAGTGTGCGTACTAAACAAATGCCCATTGAATTAAATACATGAATGAGCAAAACACTGATGTAGTCCAAGGAAGTAAAAAACAGTGGTAAAGGAAGAGATCTGGAACATTCTTAAGGACAAAAAATACCCCATTATGATATCAAGATATTGGCAACACTTTCTAAAAACACATGTATATTATGGATTATTTCCTTGAAAAAAATATTTTGCATTGACACAAAATATATTCAGAAGAATTTAAATGTACTATATTTCAACAAAAGTATTGAAATATTTTTGTTCACTGATTTTTAAAGTTCTAATGTTATTACTTTATATTTATAAATTAGTCCTCTGAAATTTACTGAATACCTAAAATGTGCAATGCACTTTGTTGAGTTCTGCAGGGGAAACAAATAAACTATAGGCTCTGAAATGCTTTACAGCCTTAAGCTAAAACTTCAGAGTTACATTGAAAACGTCTCAAATGTGAACCAGAGAGGATGCAATAAAGCAAAATATGTAAAACTCTCTTTTCTTCAGTGCCCCTTTGGACCTGATGACTGATCATGGCCATTGGAAACTATTCTTTCACTTTCTGTGACAGGGCACAGAGCAAAATATAGTCAAGACATTGACGATGAACATCTGTTAGATGCTTTCTACTTCGTCAGAGAGACTTTTATGTTCCTTCCAGATATACAGAAAGTAAATCAGAAAAGCAATGCATTTATAGCTTTGTAGATATCAAAGAAAGAACACTTACATAGGGTTAATAAATAAATAAATCATGGAATTCATAGATTTATATATTTCTTTAACTAAGACTATCCATATACTCTATGATAAAAAAAATTAAACTGAGTCCTAAATGATTAAAATAATTACCACAGGACTGTCCTTAATCATTAAACAAACCATTAAAAATATAATCCCAACACAATAAACATAACTGTTTTGTATTACGATGTAACTAAGCCTATACCAAAATATCATTTTTCATAAAATAGTTTCAAATGCAAATAGTGATGTCTTTAGTAGTATACTCTCAATTATTAAGTAAAATATAAATAACTGAATTTGGCACATATATATAAACATAATTCTTCAGTGATTAAAATTTTTAGTGAGCTTGTTAAGATATATAATTTCCCATAAAGTGCTAATTAAACATTTAAAATGTACACAAATATAGCAAAAATATTGATTTGTTTAGAAAGCTTACTAATCTCGGTAGATCTACTAGGGACTGGAGGTGGCTGCGTGCCATTGCGAGTAGGTATTGAAGACTGGTGTGAAATTGGAGAAAATGGAATCATATCAAAGATGTCAGTGGAGGGAGACTTAGGTGTCACATTGCCTGCCTGCAATGAAGATAACATGAATTAGTATTCCATGTAGAAACATTATAATGCTAAATATTTCATACACATGTAAAACATATATAAGCACAACAAAAAATGCTGTTGAGTCATATGAAATAGCCAATATGTAACTATTTTTGATCTACAGAATGGCAAGTTCATATGACTCAACCACTTATGCTAAATGCTCATTGGCAAGAAAATTTCTGCAAAAATATTCTCAAAGATGATGGCAAAAATGGTGATAATACTATTCTAGACAGATATAAAAGATATGTTGGATTTTTTGTATATCTAGAAATAATTGCCACTTATATCAGAGAATTGAAAATGTGTTAGAAACTATTTATATAAAACCTTGATTTCAGTAATGTATTTTGCACAAGATTACAAGATTTAGACAGAAATAACCGAACATAAGTGATGAATCTTAAATATAACCATTCAAAAGCGATTGATAATGATTTTAAAAACATTTTAAGGAGTCTATTTTAATTTGTACTTATAACTGTAATGGAGCCAACTATTATATTCATTGCAGTGACTTTTCTTCTTAGAATAAGACTTCATCGTTTTCTACAATAAATAGCTACCTTGTGAAATAAATTATAATCACAAAATGATTAAGTTATCTGGGCCAGTCTGGGCTAGGATGTAATGAAAGAATGAGACAATCATCACTTTGATTGTCATATAGGGAAAAAAATTATTTTATATATATATATTATCTATTGATATAAAAGAAAGAATTCCCATTTTGGAGAGAAATAGTGAGAAAAATTTATTTTTCTTATAAGAACATGAATATTGTTTAGAATTGCTTAGAGTGGTTCATATTATAATTTGTGTTCTCAAAATACATTTGTTTACTGATTCACAGATGATACAGGTAGTGAAGATAAAATGGCTGATTGTGTGTAAAGAGTGATAGATTGTGTGTAAAGAGTGATAGATTTGCTATTCAGTTAATAAACCTGTTAGTACATTTTTTCATGCAGGAAAATTGCTGTCATCTCCCTTTCTTTAGCAACTTACTTTAACTTTAATGGATAGTCTATCAGTTACAAATACTATCCAAAGACTTGGAGGCAACTTTATCCCTCAGCTCTTTCCTCCTACTCAGGAATGTTGTTCTCCTAATCAGCCTCTCTCTCAAATTCCACTGGCTTCCATCTCTCTCTTCTTTGTCAAGATATAAAGATACTCAGATCTTGACTGTTGTTAAAACAAACCAACCAAAAAGGTCTTTACCCAGTGCCTCTTTACTCCTCTCGTCTCTCATCTCTCTTTCCCTTCCCTTCAAAGCTGAGGTCCTTGAAGGAGGTATTACATCTCTTGCCCTTTTACTTCATCCAATCCTCAACTCAGATCATTCCAGACTTTGCTCTTTTTGCTGAACTCTACTGAAACAGCTTTTGCCAGTCTCAACAATGGCCTAATTTCCCAGTTGCTATATCTGGTGGATCTTTGAAAGTACCTGCCCTATTTCATCTTTTTGTGGATTTGGACCACCACTCTCTACTAGAAACTCTCTGAGATCAGATGACCAAAGGATGCAAAAATGGCACACAAGGGCCCCAGATCACATCACATTGATTCAAGACATACCTGATTTTTTTCATTACTATATAAATGGCATATTTTGGCAGAATTAAAAAAATACGTGGGATAATAAAAAGCATTTTCTATTTAGTGAATTACATGAGGTCTTGGGATGCTGCTCTCACTGATTGGCTTGGGAAGGCCACATTTAGAAGGTGGTGGTATTAACAGTCCCAATGATAGTCTGGAATCAGGTGAGTTGACAGGAGTGACAGTAATGGAAGAAATATTTAGACAGGGAGATGAATCATCAGTTCTACGCCAGAAAGAAGGTGAGCATCTCTGAAACCCGTGTTGCTCATGATCAGACATTTTGTGCAGCAGCTGTAAAGGAATGACAGAAAAATATACTAAGGAGAAGAAAGAAGACGTGGAGGAGAAAGAAAAAAGTATATATGAAAATGTATTAGGATATTTTGTGAAAATGATAAGTACTTTCAAAATAACTTTACTAAAATTAAAACAAATCGTTTGAGTAGATTTTTTCCTAGTGCAAGAGTCTTCAGATGCTGGATTGTTTAATTTGATGATTTTTCACTGAAATATTACATTTTTAGATATTTTAATAAAATATTACATTCAATATGACTTGAGAGGAAGAAAGTGGAGAGAAAAATGACAAATGCCTACAGATTTATTTCTGAGAGAGCCTCTGTGTACTGAGATGGGAAAAAGGAAGGATAGCAACAAGAAAAAAAATGTCAGTAGGAGTAAAGTCTGGTATAAGTTAAGACTTTGTAGAATTTTCAAAAAGGGCTACAACATACATTTTAGATTTAATCCTCAAAAAATTCATTTGAAGTAATAGTATTAGTAATATTACATCCATATTATAATAAAGATAGGGGAATCAAGGCCCATAAACTCTTTATGAGCTACTCCTGTGTATGTAAGAAGCAAAGTCAAAATTCAAAACAATCTGACTCCAATCATCATGCCCTTTCTATAGGTAGTAAGCTCCAAATGGTAAAATTTTGGGGGGGATGGGCAGAGGGAGTTGTCAAGCATCTCAAGTAAATCAGAGAGATAAATAATAATAAGCAACTAGTACACTGTACTGGGTCTGCACATCAGTCTTTGGATGACTTTTGGAAGCTATTTCCATTACATCATGGAAAGCTACTGTCAAGTACTGAACTGGACAGAGCTGAGTGGCCAGATGTCAGAGTGGTCAGTTAAAACAGCAACCAAAATGAAAGTATGTAATAATTGAGCCTTTATTCACTTACAATGATAGTGTAAGCAAGAGGCCAGAAAGAAGGTTCTGGTTCCATCAATGTCCCATTTTTCCCCAGTGAATGGCACTGGGCAAAGGTCAGGAGTATCATTACAGAAGCAGGACAGTATCTCTCTCCGGAGGGAGCCCTGAACACAAGGTTTCTGCTGGTTTTGTTTGGTTTTGTTTTGGGGAGGGGGAGGTGGGAGTGCAGAGGGAAGAAAAGGGAAAAGAACTAGCAGTAGAAAATACTGAAAACTGAATCCTAGTGGAGAAAAGTATTTTCAAGGCCCCCAAAAGATGAAGCACTTAAGAGAGGCCTTGGTCAAGGGCCTCCAATAAGGAGGCCTCTGAATGGAGGTACCTGGGCTGGGAATGCAGTTAATGCATAATAGTGCGGCCAGCCTGAGTGGTGAAGGGGGCTGAGTCCCTGACTACAACTCCTCCAAGCAGTGCACTGAATCTGGGGTGAGGAGGGAAGCTTTCTCCCATGAGGCTTGCCATGGAAAGACTTTGTAACTTTGTAGGGCCTAAAGGATTTGACCTGGAGCCAGACTTCTCAGCTACAAGTCACACTGCAGAGATTTTTCAACACTAATAGGACCTGGAGGCAGCCAACACAAATCTGGCTTTTGATAAACCTCATGGTGAAAGGTTGTAACTAAAATTATAGTTAGGAGAAACAACTTTGAAAGAATCTTTAAACTAGGAGTCACCTCTTCACACATTTCTGGAACCAGAGGGGGAAAGAAGGAAGCGTAAAGTGACAGATTTAAGTTGAGGAAAGAATTCAGTGTGGAAGCAAGTCTCTGATGGTCTGAATTATGTAATTTATCACTCTATTAATATGCATATACAGTTACATAATGATTGCTTTCCCTACTGATCTCTATAGTGATCTATCTATAGATATGTATACATGTACGCATGTATGTATATAATTTTAAGATCTATTTCATGGTCTATATAATTCACTGTAAACTTTTGTAGTTGGTAGCCACCTTTTACTTAATTATAGGTAACAACTGTAAGCTCCTGGTGGACAAAACTTTGTTTTTCTAAAATAATCTGTATAACATATTAGAATACTTGATATATAATGTCAATGAATATTTATTGTTTAATGTATACTACAGCAACTTTTTTTTAACTTAAACTATAAATTGATAAGGATGTCTGTACTGAGTAAAAAATAAAAAGATATCATGTGAAAGTTGTCCTTGGTATCATTTGGCTTATAAATGGAAGTACTCTATATTGTTTTATGACTTGTATTCATCAAAACATCTTTACCAGGTACCACAAAACAAACTGAAGGCCAACCTAACCTAACATAAATAAAAGTACTCTAGTGTTTTATCATGGTGTTAATATTTGTATTCTACTTCCTCTGAGAAAGTATACTTATATAAAAGAAGAATGTATATAATATGAAAATAATCGAATATTTCAATACCCCAATTAAGAAGTATTTTCACTTTCAAAATGGTAAAGCAGGGCTATCTGTCAATAATTTGGGTATCTAAAGTTTAAAACTCTAACACTAATTATTACAATTTTCCTTTGGGTCATCAGTAATCTAGATTTGGTCAACTAAGATTTTTTGTTTGGGTCACATAGGTCTTTAAAATAAGTCTTGATTCAGTTGCCTACAGGTTAATATTAAGAGGTTGTACATTAAAATCCAGAGAGTTTGTTTAGAAGTTAGAAAATCAAGAAAGTAGACCCACAAACTTGCGTAAAAATAACTGACTGGTATTGAGCAAGTAGCTGTGCCTTCTAAGTTGGTGTCTGCTCTCCAACTCCTCACTCCACCACATGCCCATTTCACACATTTGTTTAGGCCACAGCCTGGGCTCTGCTGACATTTGTGTTTGTCATTGCTAACTTAGAAATAATTCAAGTCAGGGAATTAGATGTTACATCTGATTCCTTGTAAGAATGAAATCTAAGTACATAGGCATATTTCAATAGCATCTGATTCTGCAACAAACTATTATACTTATTAAATAAGAATATGTGACTACAGCCCCTAAATGGCATACGGTGGCATTTTTGGCACTGGATAAATATTTTGAGCAGTGTCTCTAAATTTAAGTGTTCAGGAACTAGTCATTTTTTAATCTTGCATTTTTAAGTGGTTGAGGATACTTATTCTTTTAAGAAATGAAATACATAGTTC